AAAAAAATAACAGCCCACTAGGGTGCCCTGAGTTTCTGTTAACGATTATGAAATGATCACAAAAAAGATAGTGGTAACGGACAATGTGATGAATATAATCAATGTGACTGGATTAAACACGTAAAAATTGTTGAACTGGGAAAAAAAAAAAAAAAAAAAAAGATAATTTAACCCTTATCACCAATCTCTTGGATTATTGCAATTTTATCTCTTCAATTCATTTCTCGCGGTCACCAGATTTACCTTTCTGAAATTTGGATTTACAACTATTTTATTTACACCTAGTTTAAAACCAACCAATTGACCAAACTATGTTTAACGACTTACCAATGTCTACAAGAATTTTCCCAACCTTGAAAGGTCCTTTGGCAGAAGCTTAATCTACTCTACAGTCATTTCCTAAGAATCTTGCCAACTCCCTAGCTCTATTTCCGATTAGCCGAAACATACCAGACTGTCCTGTCGTCCTGAAACACACCATGATGTCTTTCACATTACTGCACCTTTGGTTAAACAGTTCCTCAAGGTTCAGCATAAATTTTAGTTTTTTATGTGACATGAACACTTTTTGAAAACATAATTTGTAAATATCGACTAATATTTCATCCTCTGGTTATAAAGAATTTGAAAACTTTATTATAGACAATATTAAACATATCCCAAATTAGAAGAGTATAATGAAGTCCCAATGACACCTCACCCAGCTTCAATAATTATTCACATGGCCAGTCTTCTTTCATCTATTCCTCCCCAAGCTCCTCCTGCCCTTGCCCCATTATTTAAAAGCAAATTATTTAAAAGCAATAATTCAACATGTGCCTCTAAAAAATATAGGCTGTTTTCTTTTTATGTAAACAGAGTAACACCATCACATCTAAAGAAATACTTGGTAATTCTTTAATATCACTGAATATCCAGTCAATGTTCAACTTGCCCTCAATGCCTTGTATATGTCTTTTTACGCTAGTTTATTTGAATCAGTATTGAAACACGGTCTACCAACTACATTAGGTTGGTATGTCTATATGTATCTTTAAGTCTCTTTAAACTATTATAATTCTCTCACTTCTTGCCATTTATTTGTTGAAGAAACTGAATTCCTGTTGCTGTACAATGTTTCACAGTTTATGTTTTCCTAATTACATCCCCAAATCAATGGTTAAGATATTCATCTAGTGGTTCTCAACCTTGATTGCACATTGGAATCACCAGGGAGCTCTAAAACCTGTCTAGTCCCATCTCCAGAGGTTTTGATTTAATAGATCTGGGTGCAGTCTGCACATGAGGATTTTGAAAAGGCACTCAGATGTTTTACTGTGCAACTAAGTTTGGGAACCACTGCTCTTTCCCAGTGGTCCTCAACCTTGGCTACATATTGCAATCAACCGAGCAGCTTTAAAAACTACTGATTCAGACTGGGGTTCTGATTTAGCTGAAACAGGTATGGCCTGGGGCTCTGGGGTTTTAAAAGTTCCATAGGTGATTGTAATGTGAAGACAAGTTTGAAAATCACTGCTCTTTCCCATGTATTTCCTATAAATTGGTAGTAACATCTAGAGGCTTGATGTAGATTTTTTTTTTTTGGCATGAATATTACACGGGTGGAGATGTGTACTCCTATTGCAGTTTATAAATCTGTATTAGGTGAGTCAATTCAATAAGGAATCAGAATGAAATCTCCCTGCCTCACTGAGTTTTATTCCATGTAAACCCAAACTCCAGGTCTTCCCATGTGGGGATGATTTACCCGAAGAATTTGGTCTTTGTCCTTGGTTCCTGAAAGATAACCTCTAAAACTTGGAACTTCCCCAGTGATTGAATTGTGTTTTACCTATATGGGCCACAGGCCACACCTACCTAACTGGTTATGCTAATGAAGTGACTTAGGTGGGGGCTGGCCAACCCAGAAAGACCCACCACATGGTATCACCTAATCTTGGAAACCCTGGTGGCATAGTGGTTAAGAGTTACAGCTGCTAACCAAAAGGTCAGCAGTTTGAATCCACCAGGTGCTCCTTGGAAACCCTCTGGGGCAGTTTTACTCCTCCCTATAGGGTTGCTATGAGTTGGAACTGACTCGATGGCAACAGGTTTGTTTTTTTTTTTTCCAAGGGTCAGTCATGCCTACATGATGAGTCTCCAATAATGGCTCTAGACAGGGAAGCTCCATGGGCTTCCTGATGGGTGAGAGACATCAATGCATGTGGAAGTGTAGTGGATCCCTTTTCAGGACATAGAAGCTCTGCGGTGGGAACTCTCCAAGATCTTGTCCTATGCCATCTCTTTTGTATCCTTTTTACGATAATAAAACTGTAATCGTAAGCATAGCTCTTTCCTGAGTTCTGCAAGTCATTCTAGCAAATTATTCAACCCTGAGGGAGTAACGGAAGCCAGCAGGTCAGAGGTGAGGGGGCCCCTGGAAACCTCTGAGCTTACGCCTGATATCCTTAGGCGGAGAGAGAAACTTCAAATTTGTAGCCAGAAATTCTGAATAGATTGGGGATATATCAAAGCACCAATTTTTATTTTTTTTAAGTAAAACCCCCAAAGACCAGGGCCTCTCCTTAACACATCAGGTCCTTTGCTTGCCACAGGGGGTTTTGTAGAATCTGTAGGCAGAAGCTAGTCATCTGTGAATCTGGAGTATCAGCATCAAATGGAATTTCAAAGCTAGGATTAAATGAGACCCTTTGATTATGACCTGTATATTTCAGAAGGTCATTTTAAAAGGTACAATTTACTGAATCATTTCAGAACGATACTAGAAAAAACATCTGTAACCAAGATCAGTGAGAGCAGACTTACAATGAGAAAACACGCGCCCAGCATCACAGCTTTCATTTTAACATCCAGGTCTATAGGGAATTGGATCCCAAAGTTATCCACATCCGTAAACACCTCTTTCATAACTCCACTCCAGTGTTTTGAAATTTTGCCAACCACAGTTTCTTCATCAAGAGATTTAATCTAAATTGGGGAAGGGGGGGAAACCCACAGTCTTAAAGAATTCTAGAAAACTAATAACAAAAACTACATTCAAAGTTGTAGTAAAATGAAACAAATACTGTACTAATATCATGTGCCATATGTAACTGGGAATATTATTTCCCTCATTAGATGCATACAGATTTCTGTATCTGTTTACAGACATATTAAAACAACTCTGATTGCTACAAAGAATTTATAAGTAGTTTTTCTAAAGTATTTAACATGTTCTATTTTTTACATTGAGACAGACAGAATAAATCATTTGAGTTGACCTAAAATAAAATTTAAACAGAAAGAGATGCAATATAAAATGCTTCTTTGATGACATTTCTAGACACCATATGACCGTCATGTGACTTCTACTTTAAGAGAAGTACAGAGTGTTTACACGGGCTGAGAGTTTAGCCATGATGGAAGGGGGGTCACCATGAGTCAGAATCTACTCAATGGCAACTGGCTTGGGTTTTTTGTTTTCTTGGGGGGTCAGTAGGGGCAACTGAAATGCTAAGAGCCTGGACAAAGAGACTGGGAGTTTGGAGTGGAGGACAGTAACCACTAAGACACTTGGTGGGAGGCTTCAGGTCAAGGATATCCAAGACTTGATAACACATGGCAGGTGAACAAGAACAACAAAATAAAAAGGAAGGAAAGGGCGTATTTCAAATGAGTGAGTGACCATTTCTCAATTCTTTCAAGGATGGCATCTCATTAGTACCATTATAGAAGCCCAGAAGAAAAGTTAACTCGTTACACATGCAGTACGCTTAAGGGTGTCCATTAGAGAAGAGTTGCTGGATGAAATCTAAATTCCTAATCATTTGCTTTTCACTTACTTCCCACAAGTAAAATACATGCCAGTTAAACTTCTGTTAATATCGTTCCCTGAACAACTACCTTTTCACTCCTTTGAACCTTTCGTAGAAACGCCACCCCTTACATACCAAAACCAAATCCGTTGCCATCGAGTCAATTCCAACTCACAGCGACCCTATAGGACAGAGGAGAACTGCCCCATAGGATTTCCAAGGAGCAGCTAGTGGATTCGAACTGCTGACCTTTTGGTTAGCAGCTGAGCTCTTAACCACTGCGCCACCAGGGCACCACAGCCAACATGGAAAAATATTATACGTACCACTACATAAAGAATTTATACATACATATCATACACACGCACAAGCATGCACGTATTATTTATATATATATATGTATGTTTTATAAGAGCCTTTATAAAGTGTCTATTACATTCCGTGTGTTTTCTTAGATTTGCCCATCTCCCTGATTAGATGATGATGTCTTTGAGGGGAAGGATTCACCCTTGCATAACCAGGGCCTAACAGAAGAATTGAAAACCATAACTGGAGAAGCCAGGCAGGTATTCGAACTGAATGAAGATGGAGAGTGGAAAACACTAGGAAGTAGGAGGACTTCCCAGAATTCCCACATCATATCAAAAGGAGGTAGTCCTGCTCAGCTCAAGCAGATTTCTGCCATATGGAAATGTGGGCCTAGTTTATCAGATTTTCTGATTTTACAAGAGAAATCAGTAATTCAAGATAAAGTCATAAAAGTCACCCAACTTTAAAAAATTTACAACTAAAAAATTTGGGTGACAGGGTGAAGGCATCTGTTGGAAAATCATTGCAGTGAAATTCCTCCATGTAGTGAACACAGAGATGTTTCCAATGACCTAATTTAACAGAAGGATAAAGTCTAGACAATAGAGAAGCATCACTGGATGTCTCATGCTATCTTTCTTAAAATCTCTTTGCATAAGTGGGCTTCCTGTAGGAGCTCAAAGGATGTCAGACCCTCTGAGGCAGGCCGAGGGCACTGGCAGCCTGTGTTTTAAACTAAGGATGGATTCATATGCTTCGCCAATTAAATTCAGATGACAGACTAACGTTCTATTTAAAATGGATAATTATACTTGGCACAGTTGATTAAATAGAAAATTATCCCATTCTACCCTTACTTCCATTGGAAAACACCCTATTTAAATGTTGGATGTTTTGTTTATGCTTCTTTGACGGCATGGCTGGCTTCTCTTTTTTTCCATTTAGTGAAACCACCACTGACATTTAATCAGCGCAACGGCTGCTTCTCTGACCAAAGTTAAATATGCAAACACATTTGTCTCCCTGTTGAAATATGAGTATACAGATATTTATTTAACGCATTTGTAACATCCTACAAATATTAGGAAAGCAAATCCTATAAACACTATCACATCTCTTACCTCAAAATCAACATCTCCACAGCAGCTACATACAACACATGGGCCACTAATTTTTAGCACATCCTCTCCTTTCTCATTTTGAACGGTAAACTTTGGCAGACAGGGGTGCCAGGTCTGAACAATATAACCTACTGGAACACCAGGAGGAGCTTGGATTTCTAACTGCAAAAGGGGAAAAAAAATGTAATAATCATAATAACAATAATAATAATGAAGTCTAATAATAGTTCTCATTTATTGAACTCTTCCTAAGTGCCACGTACTGTTCTAAGCACTACATGTACATTAACGCACTTAATTCAAAACACAGCCTTATTAGGTTGGTATTATTATTGTCTATTTTACAGAGGAAGAACATGAGGAACAGAGAAGTTAATTAACTTGCATCAGATTCCTCAGCTACTCAGTAGAAGAGATGAGATATAAACTGGGCAGGCTGTATGCACAGTCTCCATTCTTCACCACTCCTCCACCCATCTGATGTACTTTTTTAAATTGCCCTACCTGTGAAAAATCTAATTTATTAAGGAACTATTTTTTAAAAACTCCTTTAAATTAAGTGGTGGTTTACATGTTTGAAAAGAGCTCCGATCGTTGGCACAGTTGTCAAATATGAGTGAAAATAGTGCCATTGTGAAAAGAACACAGGGCCTGGAATCAGGACTCTGCTATTTATTAGCTGTGTGACCTTGAGAGCTCCTCAGTTTCCCCATCTGTAAATGAAGATTTCATAGGACCTTTTCAAAGATCAAATGGTATAATGGAGTGCGGTACTGTGCTCTTTCAGTTGTAGAGCTCCATACAAATGGAAAGCATTTCTCCAACAAACTCAAGTTTTTCCTCAGACTATCTCTATGGCTATACTATTATACCCAACCCAAAAGACATGGAAAACAAAGTGATTCATAATGAATAACTGCAGTAATCCTCTCACAACAAGTACAGTATTAGACGGCCAATACTCCACGTGTGTATCTCTGTAGCATGTTCTCACAGCAATCTGTGAGACCAAGTAGGGCTGGTCTGGGACCAATGGGGCATAATATGGGCAAAGGCCCAACTTTCCTCGCTGTGTCCTGGTTTCTCTTCTGGGCTGTCAAACAATACGTGCCAAAAAGGTAGGCAATCTTTAAGGAGGGTAACAGGGTACCCTATTACCCTCCTTAAAGGTACCTAGAAGTACCCTATTACAAAAACCAAACAAAATCAAACCCCTTGCTGTCGAGTCGACTCCAACTCATAGTGACCCTATAGGACAGAGGAGAACTTCCTCATAGGGTTTCCAAGGAGTGGCTGGTAGACATGAGCTGCCAACCTTCTGGTTAGCAGCCAAGCTCTTAACCACTGCGCCACCAGGGCTCCACCCTATTATGAAAGGGGATTCAAACATACATATTATCTTAAAATGGGAGAAAGAAAAACACAGGAGTTGAGGTTTTTCAGAGGCGGCCACTCCTAGGTTCACTCTTTAGTAGGTCGACCAGGGAAACAAAATTGCAGATGAGCGCATCCAGTTGCTCCTAGAATGGTATTCTATTCTCAACGGTGAACTTCCCTGGCTTTGACCAAGCCTCTCATGGTCATTTCTGGTAAGGGACTTTACCAACATGCTCTGCTCTCTTGGCTCTCCCTGGAGACTAAGAAGTCTGGTCCCTGCATGGATGTTCAACCCCACGATGCACGCTACTAGGCGATATGGGGCTAACAGCTCACTGCTTTTCATCCGTCTTCCTTCCTTTACAATTTACTCTAAAGAATAAACCAAGAGCTCATGGATCATTTTTCCTTTAAATCTCATTTGACTACATAGGTTCACTGAAAGGGTGCAAATTCATAAAGAACTACTCTACAAACTGCAGTGATAATTGCTCACCAACCTCCTGAAGGCAGCAGGGGCAACAACAGGAGCTACACCTTAGTGGTCTCTCCAGCGTGATGACTTCGCGGCCCATGTTATCAATAATCTTAATGGTAGAAGGCCTGTCCGACCCACAGCAGTTTCGGGTACAGCAATCAGTATCTTCCACTGCAACGTAAATCCTCTGTCCAAAGCTGTTCTTGATTTCGTATTTGTTATTGGTTTCAAAACCTATTAGGACTAAGAACATAAAACAGGAGACCATAATCAGCATTATTTAAAAAAATACTGAATTATCCTAAGCTATTATAATATCCAGCTGTACTATTTTTAGATGATATTCAGAGAAACATAAGAAAGAAAAAAAAAGAAAGGTGTTTAGAGATAGTCCAGAGAGAGGAAAAAAGGCAAGAGAATAGGAGGGGGTGTATTAAGGTTTAGAGAAATTAGGAGTCCCCGTGTGAGACAAAAAAAGCCAACTCTATCTTCCTAACTTCATAAACTCATGTCAGAAACACAGACTTTGCTGCTGAGGGGTACTGCGGTGCTGCAGATGGACATGGTCATGCTCAGTTTACGATAAAATGTCCATTTGCTCGGAATACGGTAAAACCTGCGACATCTGGAACCTGGGTAAGGAGGAAAACTGTCAGAGAAGGAAAACTCAAATATTTTCCACTAATAGAGAGAGAAAGAAACGTGGTAGACTGCACCTTGTCGAAAGCAGAAAAATTATGAGACCTGGAAAAATAATGTAGTCCCACTGAGTTCTGGCTCTCACAGGTTTCCCAGTACGTTATTAAGAGTTGTGATTAGTGTATTCAATATAGGATGCTTTCTATGTTTACGCTTTATGAAATATTATATATAATAAATTGGTTTTAGAAGATTGTTTTATAAACCATACTTATAGCTTATTTTTTTTGAACTGATAAAGATAATGGGAGGGCTTACTCTCATACACACAAGTAAACGGGTAGAGAATGAAAACGGAGATGAATTAGAATATCACACAGGGCCCAGAGACCCTTACTTAGCTCAGCAGTAACTATTCAGAAGTGAAAGACAGGTTTTGGGCAAGGGGAAAAGGTGTTTGGGAACCAGGGCTACAACTCACAGACTACCTAAGACCACTGGTATCCAAAGGGAGCTCTGTACCTTGATGGACTAATCTATGCTGGGGGGAAACAGGATGCTCCATGCTAACACCGACGCAGTATCTCACTAAAGGGGTTCGTTCCCATGTTGAACCACACAGTTTAGAACCAGGACGGGTCAAGGGTTTGGAGCCAGGAAGAGCAATTAAGGGTCCCATTTGTCCCCAGCTCTAAATAACTTGGCTCTAGGATAAAGGAAGTCTGACCAAAATAATGAGTGGTTAAAAGAAATACATGGAAACAAAAGTCACTCTGCATTCCCTATTTGGGAGACTTTTAGCCAGAGAGAGAGATGTACTTCACAAACTTCATCAGCATGACCTCCTTAAGCCTCTTTGCTCAGATTCAGGCAGGCCCTGGACTTTATGAGATCCACCCTTGACCTCAACAGATGCAACAGTCAAATGTTTGGTGAAAAAGAAATTGAACAATTATCCAACTAATTGTTTCATTAAGTAGCTTAGTCTCAAAAATCTGTTAATCTATAAAATGAGATCACTGGGCTATGCAATAACTAATTTTCCTTCTAGTTACTTAAAAAAACATGGAAACAAACAAGACAAAAGCAATTCTATTGTTATCTCTATTGTCTATGTAAGTTTTGAATTGGGGGAAAGTATAAATGCCTGTCATAATCTCAGGTAATAAAAGTAAACTACTCGTAATACTAAAAAGTAATATAAATTTTCAATTTGGAACAATGACCATAACAAAAAAAAAACAAGAAAATTAAGGATATCTTTTAAGAAACTGCAGAATTAAAAACTAGTAAATTTAGAACTTACTATATATTTCATGATTAAGACATACATATTTTGTAAATATATACAAAGATTATAAGTCTAAAAAAGATAAATGGAGTGCTATATAATGTATATTTTTCTGGTCTTTAGCATTTTATAACTGCAATAGCAATGCTACACAATACATTCCGAACACAAATTATCAAACAAGGAAGAGCCCTTTTCCAGAGAAAACTTAGAGAAACTAAACAAAACCAAGAACATTACAAATATCTAATAATGTGAAGTAATTTAAATGCAATGACAAATATTTTAACCAAATCCATTACTCAGTACAATTCATGTTCTAATTTCTACCAGTAGAAAGGGACTTTGTAGAGAGGTGAATATGGATTTAACAGACATATCCTAAAAACTAGCTAGACTTTTCATTAAACCATTTGTATTTAGAAGGTTCACGAATCCACCCAGGTTCTCTTTCTCCTGGTAGTGGTCCTGAAGCATCTATTAGTTTCTTAAGTTTATTCTTCCACTTGGGGAGCTCTGGAACCAAGGAAACATCTGTTGGGATCAAAGGCCCCATTCAGTATAAGCTGGAAAGCTTGTCTAGGAAGCGAGGATTCCAAGCCTGCTGACTGGCATCTTCCAACACTGCAGTGGCCTTGCAGTCAAGCTGGTTAATCCACAGCCCATTGAGCAAAGACTTACAGGGTTCATCTGAACTCCTAAGAGAAACTGTGAGCAGGAATAAGAATTTCTCAAAAAATCCCCATCCCAATTCAAAAAGTTCACTCACTTTGAAAATGCACTAAGTTAACTATTTCCATCTTGCTCTGTGCCAATTTGACAGTGATCACAAACTGGCACCACGTGACAGAAGTTAGATGATGTGACAAGATCACCTAAAGTGATTTGCAGAGAGAGATGGGAGCAAAAGTAAGTTCTGATTGTTTTCCTGCTTTCTAAGTGTGATGGTTAAGATTATGTGTCAAGTTGGCTGGGCCATGATTCTCTGTAGTTTGGCAGATATTATGCAATCATCCTCTATTTTATGATCTGACGTGAGTAGCCAATTGGCTGAAAGGGAAGTTTCCCTGGGGGTGTGGCCTGCATCCAATATACATGGATGCTTGGCAAAGCTCACTCTATCGATCCTGCATTCGCCTCGACATCCTCTGACCTCCAGTTCTTGGGAGGTGAACAAGCAGCCTGTTGCCTGACCTGCAGATTTTGGATTCACCAGCCCCCTCAACCCATGAGTCAGCAGGCTGATACCTGATCTGCATATTTTGGGTTTGTCAACCCCTGCTACCACGTGAGTCAGGAGAAGCCTCCAGCCTGCTGTTGACCTATGGATTCGGGACTTGCCAGCCTTCATGACTGTGTGAGCCATTTCCATGAAATAAATCTCTATCTGTATGTGACTGTGTGTGTGTGTGTGTGTGTATATATATATATATACACTCTTCACTGGTTTTGCTACTCTAGAGAACCCAGCCTAAGACACTAAGTTAGTCTAGATCATGAGGACAGATGCCCAGATGATAATGGTATTTTACTATTTGACTCCTAATATTCAGAAATAAACATCTGCTAATCTACATCATCTCATTATCGCAGAGAAGCACTTGTAAATAACCAGGTTTAACCTTCCTACACTGGCTTCATCGGCATAAGCTTCTTATCTTTCTAGAAATACGGTCAGTTAGTAAAATGCATACATACCTTCCAGAAGTTCAACTTGTTGATGAATCAGTATCTGATCTATCTATGACAGAAAGAAAGTTGAGCTGTAAGAATATGTAAAATGAAGGCTTTTAAAAATCAAACAGAGTAATATTCATGTTTTTATATTTTTTTGAAGTACATATAATCAATACAAAAGATCAATATTTATCGATATTATCATTATATAATAGTAATTTATATTATTTGTAGCATAAAACTAAAGTTAACATATTTTTAATTGAAAAAATATCCACTGAAAGTATTCAAAACATTTATACTTTTATCCACTATTATTGTGGGCACATTTAGATTAAACAGATTTACACCAGCATCCCTATATAAATTAGAAAACAACGCTCTTTCTGTAAGAGGCTTATGAAATATTAAGAACTTTTTTTATCCATTTAAAGAGCTTTTTTTCTACAAGTTTCAGAATTATTCTTTTAATTGTACTTGATATCACCATTTGTAGTAGGTGGTTCTTTCTTTCCCTGATGTGTTTTATAATAGATAAAAAAGAATTTATTTCAGAGTATTTCTTGGAGAATATAAGAACTATTAAAAGTTATAATGTAATATAATATGTGTTACCCAAGTGCATTGTGGGTAATTAAATTAGTACAGAGAACATAGGAGGCATTTCATTTACTGAAAAGTGATGTCATATCATAGGGATATGTGCTTGTTTGTTTACAGACTGGATGCAAAAAACTTCATATTCTAACTTAACCTACCAGACTTCTAACATCAAACAGATTATTAAACCTCCCATGACTGAGACAAGTTATCCTGCAATACATCAATATCCAGGACTTTTTCCTTCTTATTATTGGTGAAATTTATAAAATTGGGTCTTCCAAAGAGCAAAGGCAGGATCATAAAGATGTAAATCTATTAATTATAATAAAAGATGAGCTATATTTTAATCTAATCACTAACTTTTTTTGGTACCACTTATGGAAGTACAAATCTAAGCTTTATTTAAAGTTTCTTTCAAATCCCAGGAAATAATTCAGTGCTGATTAAAGATACAGTATTCAGCCCCAAGATCCCTGGATTAAGAAGCTGGTTCCACTTCCTTCACTGTTTGACCACTTCCTAGCACCTGAGTTTGTACCTATATGTTAGAGGGTTTCCGTATGAAAGAAATGAGTTAATACATGTATTATGCTTATAACAAAGCCTGGAAAAATAGTGCTTAATAAATATTTGCTATTGGCTATTATATTTAAGATTATATTGAATATATATTAAAGATCATAGAAAATACAATTTCCTAAGACATTTATATTTTGCTTTAGAAGTGAAACCGACCTAGAATAGTGAATTTTTAACAAAAAATGCTGTTTTACTATTTCAGACTTTTGTGAATTAGTTGTTAGTCTGCAACAGGAAGCACAGTTTTATTTTTTATGAGTATTTTATGTATTTGAAATTACCTGAGTTAAATATTCCAATCCAGGTGGACAGTCCAACGGAGGTGGTGGTGCTGTCATCCATGGTACTCCTGCAGGTCCACCTGGTTGATTGGTCATTGGCTGGTGTTGGACAGGAAAGCCAGCTGGTGGGGCTGGGTAGCCTGCATGTCCTGGAGGTCCTAAAATATCAACAAGTAAACTAATTTGTAACTGTACACCTACTCCTCCTCACTTAACGACCATCTCGTTATCTGACATTTTGCATTTACGACAATAGTAAAAAATCTACTATCCGACTAATTTGTGCATTAACAAAGCAGTAGGCATGGTGGTAAAGGCTGTGGAGTGTCCCCCCCCACCCCCAGGAAGGTCTCTGGAGGCCTCCATGAAGCTGGGATGCGCTATCCTACACCTTCCATTCCCTTCTGCCGGTCAGGGCACTGTGTCCAGCTGCCATGCGGGGCCTCCTCCATGGCCAAGGCCTCCAGGTGGGCGCGCAGGCAGCACCAAACCAGTAGGTGCCTGTTCTGGGTTCCCTCTATGAGGCCTGAGGCCTTGCAGCTCAAAACTGCTGTGGGGTGGGAAGGGAGGAAAGAAAGAGGCATCGGAGCAGCTGTTTGGAAGAAATGAGTGTGAGTTTAATTACATCCCAAAGTGAGCTGAACTGGGCCTGAAACCTCCACCTTGGTGAGGCTGGGTGTGCAGCCAGGCTCCCAGTGCCCTTGCAGGAAGCCCCGAACCTTGGTGACTGGCCAGGCCTGGAGGGTAGAGTAGGCTTCAGGACTGTGAACAAAGGGCTTGCAGGGGTGAGGGTGGAGTTCTGGAGGCAACTCTGGGAGGGAAGCTCTGACCCAACACAGGAGGAATGTGAAGTGGTTACGCCGTGGACCCTCCAGTCACACAGCCTGGCTTTATCCAGCTTTGTCTCCTCCAAGCCCCCTTTTCCTCAGAGGAATAATCCATAACTGGACTCGTCACAGCAATGAGCACATCAGTAAATGGTGGCTATTACTATTTCTGTGATCATATTTTCTAAATTGAAAAAAAAAAATCAGACAAATGGATGGTCTGAAAACATAAAAAAAATTCTCCATTTTCACATAACATTGGTTGTCTTGGTTATCTAGTGCTGCTATAACAGAAATACCACAAGCGGTTGGCTTTAACAAAGAGAAATTTATTCTCTCACAGTCTAGGAGGCTAGAAGTCCAATTCAGGGTGCCAGCTCTAGGGGAAGGCTTTCTCTCTCTGTGAGTTCTAAGGGAAAGGCGTTGCCATCAATCTTCCCCAGTCGAGGAGCTTCTCAGCACAGGGACCTGGGTCCAAAGGATGCGCTATTCTCCTGGCTCTTGTTTCTTAGTGGTATGAGGTTCCCCTGTCTCTCTGCTCACTTCTTTTATATCTCAAAAGAAACTGACTTAAGACTCAACTTCATCTTGTAGACTGTGTCCTGCTTCATTAACATAACTCCCTTTAACCCTGCCTCATTAACATCATAGAGGTAGGATTTACAACACTAGGAAAATCACATCAGATGACAAAATGGTGGACAATCACGTAATACTGAGAGTCATGCACTAGTCAAGTTGACACACACTTTTGGGAGGTACAATTCAATCCATAACACCAGTTTTCACATAACGACCTGGTCTTTGGAATCTAATCATGTAGGTAAGTGAGGAGTGGGTGTACTGTAAAATGGAAGCATCAAACCTTTGAGGATTACACCAACATCTACAAGCTGAACTCTCAGCTCAGAAACCTGTTTTTATGAAGCATAATGTTTGTGTTTTTATCTTTCAGTGATTTGTCAGTGATTTTATCTGTGTTTTCATATCCACTTGTTTTGAAGGTGATAAGCTGTGATCAGAGTTGGTCCACAGCCTTATCCTTACCATTTAACACTCAATAATGTGCTTTAATACCTCAAAAAGTGAAAGAAAATGAACTATGATCTAGAGTCGCCTGCTTAAAGGTGCTGGCATGACTTCATCGAAAAGAGATGACACTGGATAAAAGGCCCAAAATAAGGGCTTTGAGCACGCATTTCTAGGACCAAAACATCCTGTAAAAAATGATGAGAATTATGGAGTCAAAGCTTTTGGCTCATTGTGACATATGATATCCCCTATGTATATAGAATTGGAAGTGATTTTGTCACCTGCCCAAGGGACATTTGGCAATGTCTGGAGACATATTTGGCTGTAACAACTGGGAAAGAGGGTGGTACCGGCATCTAGGGGGACAGGTCAGTGATGCTGCTAACCATCCTACACTACACACAATGGCCCCCCGAAAATAAAGAATTATCTGCCCCAAAATGTCATAGTATCACTGTTGAGAAACCTTGGTAGAGAGGTAAAGGCAAGTCATTCTTCCCAGTATCTTCCAATACAAAAACTATCTTTCTCACAAATTGTCAAGTCTAATTATAACTGACTTTAAGTATGCCTCACCTACTTGGAATTAGCTATGGGATGAACTAAATCATTCTCCAAATGCCTTGGGTGAATACTGTAGACTTGCTAATAATTCTCCAAACACTAACCCTATAAGAATTTAGGGCTATACATTAGAACCACCTGAGGAATTAAAATATTACCATTGCTGAGGTCCTGCCACCAGAGATTCTGATTTAATTTTTCTGGGATGATGTCCCAGCACTAGTATTTTTAACTGCTCCCCAGGTGATAAAGTGCAGCCAAGGTTGAGAACCACCCTGTCTTAGTTATCTGGTGCTTCTATAAGAGAAATGTAACAAGTAGCTGGCTTTAACAAACAGAAATTTATTCGCCCACAGTTTAGGAGACTAGAAGTTCGCATTCAGGGTACCAGCTCTAGGGGAAGGCTTTCTCTGTCCATTGGCTCTGTGGGAAAGTCCTTGTCTCCTTGTCTCTTTTCAACATCTGCGGCGATCTCCATGTGTATTGGCTTCAATCTTCCCCTGGGTCTAAGAGGTTCTCAGCACAGGGACCTTGGGTCCAAAGGACACGTTCTGCTCCCAGCTCTTCTTTCTTGGTGGTAGTCAGGTCCCTCCTCTCTCTGCTTGCTTCTCTCTCCTTTTATCTCTTAGAAGATAAAAGGTGTGACTCAAGCAAGGGTGTGGTCTGAATAAGGGTGTGACTGAAGTCACACTCTCTTGTAATGCTGTGACTCTGTGACTCTTAAAATACACCCCACACTGATCCTATCTCATTGACATAGGTTAAGATTTACAAAATGGAGAACATCCACACAATACTGGGAATCATGGCCTAGCCAAGTTGACACATATTTGGGGGGACACAATTCAATCCATGGCACACCACTTTAGAGTCTTGGAACTTTTCTATTGCTTATTCTTTTAACTGCAAACATCTAGATGAGATCTAAACCCCACCAAGAGTTTCTGAGCTAGACAATTAAACAGGCCATTCAAGCTCGGAAGCAGATGTTTGCTCAAAGAAGAAAGCAAAGATACCTCCTTCTGCCCAAACCAGCTTCTCTCTGCTATGCAATACCCAGGATGTCACTCAAGATGTGGGTAGCTCACCTCTTTGCACATCTGAGTGCACCATGCATATGGCCATTTGGTAATGTTTTAATGACTTTGTAACTGCATTTGCCTAAATGAAAAAATCTTTAAATTCTTTTATGCATTGGTTCAAAAGAAAAAAAATGTACTCCCTTCCAAGGAGCGATATAACTCAATTTCTTTCCTTAGAAATGCAAGGCATGATTCCGCATGTATACAAAAGTAAAGCCTTCCTATTTGTTACAAAATGAAAATGAAGAATTATCCCCCTGTAGATACATTTCCATTACTTCCATTCCAGTTTTAAGCTGTCTTATCTTTTTTTTGTGACTCTTGCTGAACATAATTAACCCTAGCTACAAGACTCAAAAACACCCAGGGATAAATTCCCTAAATGTGATTACATAACTACAATTTTCAGAACAGATGGAGAATAGATAAAATTTTTACTTTGTATCTATTTTTTTGGTGGGGGGGTTTAATTTATGCAAACCAAAACCAAACCAGTTGCCGTTGAGTCAATTCCAACTCATAATGACCATATAGGACAGAGTAGAACTGTCCCATAGGGCTTCCAAGGAGCAGCTAATAGATTCAAAATGCCGACCTTTTAGTTAGCAGCCCAGCTCTTAACCACTGCACCACCAGGGGTCCTTAATTTATGCAGAGTCTTATATTTCATTTACTAAATAAAAACTCACTACTGTTTTTATTGGCTCTGTTTTACACCTTCACTGTAAACAGACAAATTAAAAAAATTATAAATAAAAAATACTTCTCTAATAACAGCCATTCAAATAAAAAAATCAAGAACTAGGCTTCCAAAAAATTTCATTCACAGGATCTTAACAAAAAGCACTACTAAAATAAATCTCTCTCTCACACACACACAAACCCTTTAGGGAATATCAATAATTGATCATTTTGTTTTTTTCCTCTTTAAAGAAATGTTTTAGCTGGGAATGCTGCTGGTGAATACTGAGGGGGAAAGCCAACTGGAAAATCTGTTCCTGGCTGAGGAGCATTCGTTTGCACATCTGTAATACAAGGAGTGATAAATATATGCTGTTTTAATAAAATATGTAAATATTAGAAAGAAAAATGTATTGTCCTTAGGTAATTTACATTGGTATGGTCTTGTGCTGTATTCAAATAGGTAAAGGGAATTTTTCACTTAACATAAGTTGTGCCTGTTATCAGAGCTAATTTGCAGTAAACTCCTATTTCAAACAAATTCTCTTTTAGGTAAAACGAGACAGCTGAATTACTGGGATTGAGTTTCTAGTTTTTCAAACACTCCTGGTGAATATTCAGTTCCATGTTTTGAGTTTTCTAGTATTAGAAAGAAGATTGTTTTAAAACTACATATAGATTGTGAAGACAGAGAGAAATGAAATTAGTTGGATGTGTGGGGGTAGTAGTGGTAGGACTATGGGTGATTTTAAAGATATCTATATTGTTACCAGAATTATTTAAACACAGAAGCACGTACAGTCATGTGAAACATAATGTCTGTTTAGGCAACGTCCAACCGCCTATACGGCCACGGTCCCATAAGGCTGTAAGAGTTCAGAAATGCCAATCAAAGAACTATTGTTATGAAATGCATCATGGCTCCCAAACAAGCAAAAACTAGTGCTAGTAACAGCAGCAAGAGGCAAAGGAGAAGCATTGATTTGGAAGTGAATGAAACAAAGGTTATTAAACAACACGAAGGCGGAAAAATCAGGGAATGCTATCGCTCACGATTTAGGTACATCACACTGGACAATCGCGATGATCCTCAAAAACAAAGAAAAAATTCTCCAAGCTGTTAAAGGATCAACTCCACTGAAAGATACAAGGCTAATGAAAACGTGAGAGGGACCTATATCAAATATGGAGAAATTGCTAATGATGTGGATTGAGGACCAAACATAAAAGTGAATCCCTCTCAGCACAATCACTGCTAAGGCACGAAGCATGCACTTGTTATTATAAACCACTGTATTTAACAGAAAATTTTAATATAATTGGCTTTATGGCAGTCTGTTCTTAAGTACGAGTTGTCTGTAAGTTGGACATTCATAACCCAGGGACTGCCTATATATAATATAGTGTTTGCATAACTTCCAAATTATATAATGGCCTATTTCACAGAACATATTGTGGACGTTAAGTGACTCATGACTGTTTATTTTAAGCATTTTTTAAATAATTCAACAAGACTGAACCATATGAAACTACCAATATATGAAAGACTTTGACCTATAAAAACCATAACTGATTTAATTACAATAAACTAACATGTTAAACTTTGTTATGTGTTATTATGGTTTAAATAATCTTTGTATATACACAAATGGTTTAATCTCCTAGTTCTCTCCAATCATTCATTTAGCCAGTCCAGTCAGCCAATAAATGTTTATTGAGCATCTACTGGTCACCCCTGAGTTAGGCTTTGGGTCTGCCTTCACAAAATTTGTGGTCTAGTGGACCCTACAATTCTATCATCTTCACCTCTGTATCCTTCATGGGTTACTAACTGTAAATTTAAATATTTTGTTTTTGAAACACGGAGACGTGACATCAATAGAGAATAAGTTGGTCAAATTTCAATCTTACAAATTTTCTGTATGTTCTTCTGTTATGACATTTCAAAGACTACTCATTTAACTCGTGTAGTTTTAGCAGGAAGGCTTCATTGTGGGCTCCTTTCCATCACTATTCAAGAACTGACTTCATAATAACTTGATCAGAATGGAATCCATGGAGACTGGGTAAAGTTATGTAACAGAATCTCCTACTCAGATCAGGGTTTTTACCTGGACAGATGCTGAACACACCCTGAACCATCACAGACCTGAGATACCACAGCTTATTCCATCCCAAACCATTCTGTCCTATTTCTCAGCTTCAAGTGAGTGGCCAGCTCCTAGCTCCCTAGTTGTCTAGCTCAAGGCTCTGTCTACAACCCCTATCCTCAACCCAAGTTGGAAACAAAAGGATCAGACTCAGAACACATCTCAAGGAAGCACATCACGAATCTGATTTAATAATCTATCCTTACCTAATAAGTTATATTTTGACACTTCTTAACAGGTACCATTGTTTGAATAATACTAAATACATACACATATCCAGGAGCAGAGAAATTCAAGAAATCAGGAGTTCATAATCTCTGGGGTTTTGGTACCAGAATCACGATCCTGGATTCAGGAATCCAGGGGGAATTCAATAAGGGACACATATAAAGAGAAAATAATTGATTGGCAAGGGGTCAAGTAAGTCAAAGAGCATATGAATTATAGATGGTGGCTTCTGACTTTGGAAACACAACTTAAAATAGCTTATAAAATCATAGGATCATCACGTTGTCTTGATGATATTTCATTTTTACTTCTCTTTCTCTGTGTGTGTATTTTAAATACACATGTATATTATACATACATTTCTTATACACGTAAAAAAATCCATTGCTGTCGAGTCAATTCCAACTCATAGTGATCCTACAGGACAGAGTAGAACCGCCTCATAGTTTCCAAGAAGCACCTGGTGGATTTGAACTGCTGAACTTTTGGTTAGCGGCCGTACCTCTTAACCATTATACCACCAGGGTTTCCACTTATATACATTTTACTTCTACTTATGCATACATATACACACACATACAGTTACATATAGGAAGCTGAAGAGTTTATGGCAAAATGAATTATTCTAAATTGAGCTTAAGCATTCTAAAGCTTGCAGCAAATGATAATAGCTTAAATCTGTATAAATAAAAACACTTTAATTCAGTTTTGTAAATAAAATTAAATAAATATAGCAGCCAGTAAGAGAAGGTCATGAAACTTCATGAGGGAAACGGGAAGTTGCTGGTTCTGAAAGGTATCTAATCTACCTAGCAAGGCTGACATTGTAGAGATAAACATCTTTTTGGTTCTCTCAATACAGATAAAATAGGGAATAAAGATTTTCTCAGGAGAAAAGATTTTGTTTTTGATATTTGCCTCCAAATGCAGGGTTTTTCACTTCAGAACATTAAATTATTAAAAAGACAGAAGTCTTTTATTCTATGCTTGATAAATACATACTTTATTCATAATTTTCTTGGAAGAAAAACATGAGAACATATGCTCGATAGTTATTTAAAGCTATATAGATATTATGAAATATATAGAGACGTATCTGAGGATTTGGAGCCCTGGTGGTGTAGTGGTTAAGCACTCGGCTGCTAACCGAAAGGTTGGTGGTTCGAATCCACCAGCTGCTCCACCGGAGAATGATGTGGCAGTCTGCTTCTCTAAAGATTACAGCCTAGAAAACCCTATGGGGCAGTTCTATTCTGTCCTATAGGGTGGCTATGAGTCGGAACCGACTCGACGGCAATGGGTTTTTATCCGAGGATAATTGCTCACTGTTCTTTAATATGACTGGTTTTAAAAAATAATGTTCCACAGCCTTTAATCAATTTTAACAGCAACTTTAAAGGATCATTGTTTCAGGCATGCTCTCCTTGCCTACGATATCATAAAGGCACTCATTTCAAATGTAAATTTTGACCATAAATCAACATGTTAAATTTTATTATCTGTTAATTAGTATGACTTGAACGATATTTATGTATATGAGATGCATACAGAAAAGAGAAAACTTATCTTGATGCAGTAGAGTATAAATTATACAATATATTTCCCAATAAGCCTAAAATTTCTTAACAAGGTTCTCTAAGCTTCTTTTTTTTTTTTTAAAAAAAGGAAAAATTAGTGGTAGTGGATATTGATGTACATCTTCTCAGTCGACACACTGAACTAGACATTGGATTCTGGAGCATAAACAGCACAAAGCAAATTGCATCACTTCAGAAACCAAATAAAACATTATGACAAATAACACATTAACAAAAGATTAATCATTAAAGGGAGGAAGTAAAAACAGTAAATTACTTACTTTGTTTGTCCATGATTTAGACAGTTCTGAAAAAGAAAACCTGATATTAATACATTGCCTACATATTTACTGGTCAAATGTGATTGTTGATACAGGGTATCACATTTAAAACTGTACAGTCACACATATGGGATAATCCACTTACTCACCTAGTCTAGCAGTACACGGCAATCTAAACCCATTGCACCTGGCCACATTTACCATGCAATCTTTCTGAGTGGGACTTTAGGGGGTGGTGGAGACTTTCAAAAAGCTTGGTGGCGGTGTGTGTGAGGGACAGGCAGCCATAAGGAACACTGTGAGCCCAAGACCCCAAAAAGTAACCGAGTTAGAAACTGGAACCTTCACAATGTAAAGGGAGTGTGAAGCCCAGCACTCAGCCTCTGGCTGGGTTCCAGGCATGGTCTCTCAGGAGAAGGAGTCACGGTAACTGCAATTATCTCTGGAGATTCCAGGCCCTGTGGACAGGTTCTGAACAGTAAATGTGAGAGGGCCTGGTATTCTGTACATCAAAATCTGCTTTTAGCCACTAAATCTTGTCATGGGTTGTCAGAGCTATAACACCCTGACAATCCAACTGGAAATGTTTGCTTGGTTGTTTCTCCAGAAACATAATAACAAAAACTATTTTGCTCAGTGCTCCCTCCATCCAGTGCCTCAACATCATATTCTTTCCCACTACCAGTCAGTCACTATCCCTGTCTCTCCACCATAAATCCCAACCTCCTTCACACCTGTCAGTTACAATTATCACATAAGGCAAAAACACCTTCATCTGGCTGTTTTACCTTAGACCTACAAACAAACATGAATCAGCCTTGCCTCTTCCCAGGCCTACTCTAGCCCTGGCTGCCCCTCTATTAACTCCTCCTACTGTACCATCTTAAATGGTAAATAAAAGTCAGTCGATCCCTCTGTATCCTTAACTAGAATCTGGCATCATCCTTAAGAAACCACTTTCCTCGTATTTCAAAACTGTCTTCTATTATTGCCTACTTTAAGTACAAAATTTCACAATCTAGTAAAACTCTTAAGAAGTTCAGCAATGGTTGAATAACTCCAAACTGGTTTACTTGTCCCTGGCATAAATCTAAAAATGGGCTTATGTTACTGATTTGACTTCCCTGATTTTCTTAGAACAGTAACCTGAGTTGGTACTAACTAGTCAGAAACTAACTGCTCTGGACCTCATCACACCAGGGGGCAAAAGAGACTAAAAATGATATTTGTCTGCAATTAACATATAAGTTGAACAATAAACCAGTCAACACGTGTAAGCAAAGTACAGTGTTTTCACAGGCTACGTAATTTTTTAGGGTCCAACCTGAAAAGAACTATAAGGAGACTAAATTCATACATATATAAGGCCATCATTACTCTTATCAATGTCACATTTCAATCATTAAATATTATACATTAAAACTAATACCCATGACCTTAATGCTAACAGTACCTTAACAAGTATACAAAAATTAAAAGATTGATAAACTCTAGAGTAGAAATAGGTAGTATTCCTTAATACACTGAAATAAACATCTCTAAAGTTTTTGTTTATGCCCGTTTCTCTCCCATTGCTCTTTAATATGGTTTAAAAAAAATGTTCCAGAGGCAGGGCCGAGATGGTGGAGTAGTCAGATGCTTCCTGCGGTCCCTCTTACAAAAAAGACCCAAAAAAAAAACAAGCGAATCAATTATATATGACAATATAGGGGCCCTGAACATCAAAGGCAAAGTTGAGGAAACGGACTGAATGGCAGGGGGAGGGAGAGACAGCTTCAAAGCAGAAAGGAGTTGCCAGACCTAACCTGGCAGAAGCCGGCACCCTTCAGGCCAGATCGGCTGACGTGCACAAGGAGGCAAGCAGTGGCGCTCGGGAGGCGTTTTCCACATCAGGAGAGACTGAGCGACAGTGATTCTACTCAGACGTCCAGAAACACTGAAAAGCAGCGCTCAATCAGCCAAAGATAAGTACATGCGTCCGACCTATTGCGTGGATCAAAAATCACCCCTTTGGGAAAAACACCTCTCCCATTTACCTGCCCCCTCCCCACTCTGCACTGGGTCCTGGGCTGGCTTCAGTGATTGCCTAAAGCCTAACTTCAACTGTATCAGCTAATGGTGAAGTGGTAGGTTTGTGACATTTGACACTGCTGTGCACATTAAGCAGGGTCCTCACCTACCCACGTCAGGGGCCTGAGGACTGGTGGCTCCACCCATGCCACTTAGCCACCCGTGACAGGGGTCCAAGAATAAGTACTGCCTCCCAACGGCACTGAGTGCCCATACTCCGGCTGCAAAACCCACCCACCTATGCGTGCTAGGGAACAGGGACACGCTTTCCTCCCAGACATTCACGGGCAGCCATCAGGCCCCTGCCTTGCTCAGCACATGACCCTCTACTGTAGCCAGATACCTGTGCCTACACCAATCACCCCTGCCTATCTAGGACTGTAGGTAAGAGCCTGCACCACACACTTGGTGACCAACTACCTGGCCACCTAAGCTAAATCCATACAGGAAAAGTGAACAGACTCCTGGACTCACATGCCTAGTAACAGATCTAACCACCAAGTGATTGGACGTTAGAGCTTCAAAGGCGCCAATAATCAAACTAGCTCACATGAGCAGCCTATTGGGGCATATCAAAACATAACAAAACAAGAATCTAGGACACAGTAAGCAAACTTAAATAAATATAATAACTTATTGATGGCTCAGAGGCAACAGTCAATATCAAATCACTTAAGGAGGCTGACCATGATAGCTTCAGCAAGCTGCTGAAACAAAGAATCAAGAAATTTTCCAGAGAAAGAGAACTTCTTGGAATAACCAGGGGTAGAATACAAAACATTAATAAACAGAACACTTCAAGAGATCAGGTTGGAGATCAGACGAAACACATAACAAGCCAAGGAGCACACAGACAAAGCAACAGGTGAACTTAAGAAGATTAAAGTACAATGACAAATTTAACAGGCTGCAAGAATTTATAGAGAGACAGCAATCAGAAATCCAGAAGATTAACAATAAAATTTCAGAATTAGATACCTCAATAGGAAGTCATACGAGCAGAACTGAGGCAATGGAAGGCAGAATTAGTGAGACTGAAGATAAAGTACTTGACACCAACTTATTTGACGAAAAATCAGATAAAAGAATTAAAAAAAAAAAAGAAGAAGAAACCCTAAGAATTATGTGGGACTCTATAAAGAGGAATAACATATGAGTGACTGGAGTACAAGAATGGGAGGGATAACAGAAAATACAGAGAGAATTGTTGAAGATTTGTTGGCAGAAAACTTCCCTGATATCATGAAAGGGGAGCAGGTATCTATGCAAGATGTTCATCTAGTACCACATAAGGTAGATCCCAAAAGAAAGTCGCCAAGATGTATTATAATCAAACTTGCCAAAACCAAAGATAAAGAGAGAATTTTAAGAGCATCTAGGGATAAACAAAAAGTCATCTACAAAGGAGAGTCAATAAGAATAAGCTCAGACTACTCAGCAGAAACCACGCAGGCAAGAAGGCAATGGGATGATGTATATAAAGCCTGGAAGGAAAAAAATTGCCAGCCAAGAATTATATATCCAGCAAAACTGTCTCTCAAATATGATGGCAAAATTAGGGCATTTCCAGATAAATAGAAGTTTACAGAATTTGCAAAAACCAAACCAAAATTACAAGAAATACTAAAGGGAGTCCTCTGGTTAGGAAATCAATAACATCGGATACCAATCCAACACTAGAACACAGGACAAGAGCAACCAGATATCAATCCAGATAGGGAAGTTACAAAAATAAATCAGAGCTAAAACACTGAAAAAACAGGGTAACAGAGATGTCAATATGTAAAAGATGACAATATTAAAACAAAACAAAGGGACTAAAAAATGTAGTCGTAGATCTCTCATATGAAGAGGAAGTCAAGGCAATATAAAGAAATAAAAGACTCGTTTAAACTTAGAAAAACACAGGTAAATATTAAGGTACCCACAAAGGAAACTAACAATCCTACACATCAAAATAAAAAACAAGAAAAACATAAAGACTCAGAAAATACAAAATCAACAATGAAAAAGACGAAAACAAAATTTACACAGCCAATGACAGGGCTCCAAAATACATAAAACAAACTCTAACAGCATTGACAGGAGAAATAGACACTCAACAGTAACAGTAGGAGACTTCAACACACCACTTTTGGTGAAGGACAGAACATCCAGAAGGAAGCTCAGTAAAGACATGGAAGATTTAAATGCCACAATCACCCAACTTGATCTCATAGACAAATACTGAACACTCCACCCAACAGCAGCCAAGCATACGTTCTTTGCCAATGCACATGGAACATTCTCCAGAATAGACCCCATATTAGACCATAAAGCAGCCTTAATAGAATCCAAAGCATTCAAATATTACAAAGCATGTTTTCTGATCATAAAGCCACGAAAGTAGAAATCAATAACAGAAAAAGCAAGGGGAAAAAAAAATCAAATACATGGAAACTGAATAACACCTTGCTCAAAAAGTATTGGGTTATAGAAGAAATTAAGGAATAAAGAAATTCAGAGAAATCAACTCAGAATGAAAACACATCCTACCAGAACCTTTGGGACACAGCAAAAGCAGTACTCAGAAGTCAATTTATAGGAATAAATGCACACATCCAAAAAGAAGAAAGGGCCAAAATCAAAACATTAACTCTATAACTTGAACAAGGAGAAAGAGGGCAGCCAAAGAAGCCCTTGGGTGCCAGAACAAAGGAAACAGTAAGAATTAGGGTAGAATTAAATGAAACAGAGAGCAGAAAAACAATTGAAAGAATTAACAAGACCAAAAGCTGGTTCTTTGGAAAGATCAACAAAATCAATAAACCACTGGCCAAACTGACAAAAGAAAAACATGAGAGGAAGCAAATAACCTAAATAAGAAATGAGATGGGCGATATCATAACAGACCCAACCGAAATTAAAAGAATCATAACAGAATACTATGAAAAATTGTACTCTTTAACAAATTTGA